GTATGAGCCACCATGCCTGGCTTGGTTCCCTATTTATAAAGTAGGGATAATATGGATCCCTATCTCATAAGATTGTTGTGAGGAATAAATGTTTTAATCCATGACATGTAGTAACTGTTCAATAAATGTTAACTATTCTTATTACAAGCGTTCTAGGGTAGGAGAGATCCCTGTCTGGGAAGTCTCCTGGAAAAAATTGAGCCCTGAACAATTTCGTAGGTCCAGGATCCTGGATGCTGTCCTGTGCCTTGCTCCTGTCTCTTGGATTGTTCTCGGCGATGTTTGGTTGCCTGTGTGGCTCACCTGCAGCTCCCTCTGGGCTTTCAAGTTCTTGTGCTTTATTCATCACCCTCTTCTTTCTCTCCTCCTAGTCCCTGGCCCTGCCAGTTGCTGGTGCTTCTGTTTCTGCTCTGTTCCCTTCCTCTTGCTGACCCTTCTACCTGGCCTGCCTTTCCTTCCCCTCCAAACTGGGAACAGTCTTCTTTCGGTATCCCCAGTGCCATCTGCATAGTAGGTGCTTTCTGCTGTGCTAAATCCAGGCTCTGCACCACCTGGCCATGGCCCCAGTGCTGTGGGCTGACTCAGGCTGAGCTAAGTTTCTATTCAGGGATTTAATTTTCCTGGTAGGCCTGGCATGTCAAGGGCCATAGTTTTCCTTACCATTCTGGAGCCACCAGGCTTCTGGGTAAAACTGTCTGGCCAAGAGACACAGGCTTTCATTTTTCAGAAAGGAAACCCTTCCCAACTGGTGGAAAATAAGCTTTTGCTTAGTGACTAATAACATAAACACAGACAAGATTTCTGGGCTTATAAATAACCAGTTGTAAAAGTGCCCAAGGGAAGCAGCCGTTTTTTGCTAGAAGAATGGCCAAGAGTATCCCTGTCACCTTGTAGATAGTGACCTTAAGCATGGGCAAAGGAGCGTTGGGCCAAGGGTGCGGAAGCTGCTCATTCTTCAGTATTAATTCCCAAGGCCTTGCTCTTATGCATTATAAATCCTAGACTATTCTGGAAAAATAACACCCGCTCTCTAAGGTCCTTTCCTGCTCGAAAATGCTGTGATTCTGCGGCAGCCACAACATGTTTTAAAGAGCGATGCCAGCAGGGAGAGGAAAGTGTTAGGGTTTTGTTTTGCTAGAGCTGCCTAAGTGGCTGATGAAGTAATTGTGAGAACAGCTTCCATTTGTTGAGCACTGGCCGAGGCACCGTGCTGAGGGCGAGAGACCTGTGAGGAAATTACTAGTCTCATTGGACTGATGAGGAGGCCGAGGGTCAGAGGGGTTGAGATATATGAGTAGTAATGGAGTGGCTGAGAGCTTGGGGGCAGCAGTCAGACTGCTGGGCGCAGTGCTGGCTGTGCCTCGTACTCCTTGTAGTTACGGGAATTATTATTCACCTTGTCCCCGGGTGTTCTCATCTGTAAAACGGGGATCCTCATAGTACCAAATCCTTATGATGTAATTCATGCAGAATGCTTGTTAGCGTGGTGCCTGCACGTGGTGCTTGCCTACAGCAAATTTTGCTGTTACTAAGAAAGCCTTCAAGAAGCTTCATCTGTAACACCCCCAGCCTGCTTGATGAAACACTGAGGCTTGAAGTCTAGGAATCTTGTTTGCTCTCAGTTAATTTAAAGTGGCAGACATGGGCTGCTTCCTATGAGGAACTGGGGGATGGTGTCCCAGAGCCAGGCCTGGCCGCCTGGACAGTTCTCTGACCACCTTGCTCACTGGCCCTGCCTAAGAGCGAGGGGCCAGTTTTGTCCCTCGGATATCATCTCATTCATCCAGTGCTTTCCGAACTGGCTCCATATGAGTTCTTCTGGATGCCAATTGGAGGACTGAAATGGCCCAATCAACTGAGTTAAGGAAACCAGGTTCTCCAAGGACAATCAAGTATTAACGTTTGGCTTGTGTTTGACCGTGGAATTCTTTTCTTCTTCAAGACAGCTTGCAGAATGAGTACCCCATGGAATATGCATTTGGAACTATTTCTTGACCCCTCCAAATGCAGTCAGCAGGGCGGCAAGTGTGAAAGGCTGGCAACCAGTAAGGATGGGGGTAAGGGGTGTCCTTGGAGGTGAGACAGGTAGACAGATCTGTGATATATTTTATTTTATTTTTGAGATGAAATCTCACTCAGTTGTCTAGGCTGGAGTGCAGTGGTGTGATCTCGGCTCACTGCAACCTCCACCTCCTGGGTTCAAACTATCCTCCTGCCTCAGCCTCCCCAGAAACTGGGATTACAGGCACCTGCCACCACGCCTGGCTAATTTTTTATATTTTTTGTAGAGATGGGGTTTCACCATGTTGGCCAGTCTGGTAACTTCTGGCCTCAAGTGATCCACCTGCTTCAGCCTCCCAAAGTGCTGGGATTACAGGCGTGAGCCACCGTGCCCGGCTGGACTCGGGATATATTGTAGAGACAGGATCAGTAGGACTTATTGATGGAAGCTGCTTAGTAAAATATCTGGTGTATTGGACTGTATTGTGCCGAATTGTGTTTACGTCTCCTTGATACCAAATCAGTCGGTTGGAGAGGGAAGAATCCAGCCGTTGAAACAGCCCTTCTGCCTGTGTGAGGCGAGTGGTCCACACCTCCCGACAGTCACTGAAGGGCCAGAGGCTTTGGCTCCCTTAAAGACGCACCAGACTCTTTGGGGTATGAGGTTTCTTGTTTGTTTATCTGTCCAAGTACTTTCCTTCTTCCTACATCCCTTCTTTTTAAAATTAGAAAACCCGCTGCCCTCTCCAGGGCCCATCGCTCTTTCGTTTTTGGGGCCTGAGCCATGCATCCCGAGGCAGTCGGGATGTTTCCAGTTTCCAGAGTTTATTGTTAATGAAAAGTGCACAACAGGCTGAAATCCCTGGCAGGAGCCAAAGCTGCAGGGTACACCGAGGCCAGCAGACGCTGGAGCAGCCAATTTTATCTGGATGTTCTCTCCTCCTCCTGCCTACCCTCCTCCTTCCCCTTCATTTTATCAGGGAGGTTTGGCTGGACTTGAAGGAGCCAAAAAGGAACTGGAGGGGTCTGAGCTTCTAGCAGCCAGCAACAAGGTATGGGAGGACAGGGAACCCAGGCCTAGGATAGGTTCCAGGTTAACTCAGTTCTTCATTGAATGTGTGTCTGCCTTGGTGCTAGGCTCTGGGGATGAATTAGTATTGATAGCAACAATACTAGCTAACATTATTGAGTGTATGCTGTAAGGGGAAGGCCTTGTAAACATTGAACATACCTGATATCAGGAAGTCCTCCCAGCAGTTCTAAATACTTGCTAATACTATTCATGTTTTATAGTTGACTAAACTGAGGCCCAGAGAGGGCAAGCAACATCCCTAGAATCACACAGCTCTAGGAGTATCTCATTTCAACACTATAGTTTTTAGCTCCGTCCATCTAGGCAGAGGACATGGATATGTAAACCAGGAAATAAACCATAGCACAGTTTGCATGTGCTATGAGGCAAGTATTGACTAGTGCAGTGGGAGGGGTGCTGTGGAAACCACGTATGAGCACATTCTTGGCTAATGAATTAGGGTGCTGGGCATAGGGGGCCTGATGGAAATGTTAGAAAAGTGGATGAGATGGAGGGAGGTAGGCAGGGGACCTTCAGGGAGGGGCTTGGGTACCCTGCAAAGGTTTTGGTACCATATCCCTTAAGAGTGATGATGGATTTCAAAACAAATATTGCTTATTTTATCCTTGCTCAAAGGACATCTTATGTGAAAGTCCAAAGTATGAAACAGGTGGCAATGGAGTGGCTTTGGACAGCCTGTCATTTGTGGCCTCCCTTCTCCCTGCCTCCATGCATGGGTCCCTGGCCATCTGCCTGGAACCCTGTCTTTGAACATCACAGCTAGAGAGCATCAGAGTTGGAGAGAAAGAAGCGTTTACAAGCATTTGGGGAGACTGTTTCCTTGGTGGTGTGGAGGTTGAGTGAGAAGGGGCTGGACCTGGTGGCAGGGAGCCGGCTTGAGATGACAGTAGCAGCAGCCCTGCAGGCTGCGGCGTTAGTTCCCCATCCATGCTGGGGGCCGGAGCCTTGCTGATTCCAGCCAGCTCTTTGGGAGGCCATCCATCTAATGGCTCTGCACTTGATCTTTGAAGCCAAACTGCTTGGTTGCAGGCTGTGCCAGATTCTTAACCTCTGTAGGACTCATTGTCTTCATCTTTCAAACAGTAAAATTACAGATATTTCCCTGATCGTTTGTTGTAGGGTTTAAACGAGTCAGTACACGTGAGGTACTTAAAACCTTACACACAAATTTGGTGCATAGTAAGTGCTATATTGTTATTTATTATTAATGTTCAAAAATGCCTTTATGTAGTTTGAGTTTACTCATTTAATAAATATTAACTGAGCTCCTACTATGTTACTATGTGCCAAATACTGTTCTGGCTGCTGAGGATACACCAGTGAGTGAAACTGGATAACCCCCTTTTACATTTGACTGGGGGAGACAGAATAAACAAATACATGGAATGAATGTGTAGTAGGGCTGAGAGGGGCCCATGGGATCGTGCACAACTTGGTGGGCCACATTAAAAGCTTTGGGTTTTATTTGCCTGAGATGGGAAGTTATAAAGAGATGACAAGATTGAGCACCTATTTTGGGGTCAGAGTAGCTCTATCAGGACTGGGTACCTGGTCTATATCCAATGGTTAATAAATTATTAGTAGTGTTTATTGTTACCCGTTATTCTGTCTACAGGAGAGCCGTTCCGGGAGAGGGTTGTGAGAATGATCTTACAAGGAGAGTGGGGTCCTCAGAAAAGAGAACCACATTTCCCTTAGCATGACAAAGGCGTGTCCAGGAACAATGGCGGTGACACACACCATTGCCCACCTGGCGGGACAGCACACCCAGTGCCTCGTGATGCTGAATTGACTGATTGGTCCTCTGCCTGGCGACGTCTCCGTTGTCCTCTCTCGCATTCTCTGTAGCATAAGTGAGCTTGTTGGCTAAACAGGGTGTTTGTGTATTGCTGTTTTCCCTCTGCAGTGTTTGAGAACAAAGATAAGATTGTGATCATCATGGAATATGCAAGCAAAGGGGAGCTGTACGATTACATCAGTGAGCGGCGGCGCCTCAGTGAGAGGGAGACCCGGCACTTCTTCCGGCAGATCGTCTCCGCCGTGCACTATTGTCACAAGGTACGGCTGCGACTGGCCCGCAGCTTTGGCCATAGATGGTTTTTATGGCACTGCATGATTTTTTTCCTGTTATAAAAGTGATATCTGTTCATGGCAACGTGTATGGAGAATTTATGAACTAGAAACAAGAAAATTACCATCACCCACGATTCTGGAATCCAGGGATAACCCATTTTTGACATTTTCACTTGTTTCTTTTCAGTTTTCTTCCTCCTCCTCCTCACATTTTTTTTTTAGGCAAACTTTTAATTTTGAATAATTTTAGATTTACAGGAAAGTTTCAAAGGTAGTACAGAGTTCCCATCTATGCCTCACTCAGTTTACCCTAATATTAACATCTTACATATCTGTGATACGTTTGTCAAAATGGAGACACCAATGACCTTTTTCTGTTCCAGCATCCAATCTAGGGTACCACACTGGATTCAATTTTACATCGTTTGTGTCACGCTTTTTTACTTAATACTTTGATCTAAATGTTTTCCTATATTATTAAAAATTCTTTGTGATTCTTGATTGTTGGACATTGAGGCTGTTTCTAATTTCTGGTTATTACAAATAGTGATCAATATATTTATATATGAATATTTTCCTCTCATGTGAATAATTTACTTAAGAGAGATTCCAGAAGTAGAATTACTGGGAGAAATGTTCTTGAAACCTTTCTATACTCTTGGGCCCTTTTCTTGCATAGGTTACCTGTATGCACATACGTCTTATTACAGCACACCTCGATGGGATGTGTTCAGAAGATAATCCAAGCTAGTTGGGAGGCTGAGTGGGGAGGATTGCTTGAACCCAGGAGTTCAAGACCAGCCAGGGCAACATAGCAAGATCCATCTTTGAAAAGCTTTTTTTAAAGTAGCCAGGCATGAGGTTGCACACCTGTAGTCCAGTTGTTTGGGAGGCTGAGGCAGGAGGATCCCTCGAGCACAGCAGTTTGGGGCTGTAGTGAGCTATGATGGTGCCACTGTTCTCCAGCCTGGGTGACAAAGTGAGACCCCATCTCCAAAATAATAATAATAATAATAATATAGCCACAGTAGAGCCACTCTCGGTTTCTGGAAAAGGCATGAAGAACACAGATAATTACAAGCCATGTCTCAGCCATTATTGTTATTACTCATTTTGACCATGATTTTCATCTCATTCAGACTTTCTCCAGATCTGTCACACCCTGAACAGTCGTTTACTTTGAGGATAATGTGACTTGAGTCCAACAGGGCATCCAAAACAGAGTCAACTTGTTTATACAAATGATCGCAACATGGGGCCTCCTGGTTTGTTAAATATTGTGTTTAATTGAGAGTGGCTCTGTAAGTAATTAGAAGACAGTTACTCAAATCTAAAACCCTTAACCCATGTGAACATTGTTTGACCTCTCTTTGTTGACTCAAAATGTGCTCATGATTTGAATCGTATAATATTTTGTATTTCATCATCAGGTATCATTGTAAATCACCATAGGGATGATAGTTTTGTGATTTGAAGTGTGTGAACACTTGGATTCTGTATGAATGAGGCTTTATTAGACTCATTCCATCTTATTACGAAAACCAGGAATGAAGCAATGTAAACCAAACTGCTCCTGATATTTAAAATTAATGGAATCAGGCGCCTTATAGTCGACATCTTTCTTCTAAGAGACTTGGCTTTGTGCATTTCTGAATTCAGAAGGCCTCCTTGCAGGCTTGAATTAGAAAAAGATTAGTAGAAATACATGTTTTCATTCCTCCCTCGGAGCAGTGCTTTTGGAGATATTAAGAATGGTCAAACGAAAAGGAAAATAAACAAGAAAGAACCACCCATCAACATGCCTGTTGGTTTCCTCAAAAGAGCAGCTTTGATTGCAGATGTCCTTTATGCTGAATGATGTTCAGAATCATTCAGTGCCCCCCGCTACTTGTCCACGCACCCCTAAATAGCCAGTTCTTTCAGGCCCACTGCTCTTCCCATGCTCACCCACCCCCTAAAAAGATAATAAAAAAGATAGTCTTAAAAAAGAATGAAGAAGGCTAATGGTTACTGCTGTGTAGACCGACAGCCTATTGGCTGATGACTGCTTTTCACATTTCAGCTGGCTGGCTGCTGGTCATTGAAGTTCAGCCTCCAGCCTTGCCAGAGTTTGCCTGAATGGAAAGGTCAGGCAGGACGGCAGCCACCTGCTTCGGTCAGGCCAGTGGTCCCGGTCTCACTGGTCTGCGCTCACGCTTCACCTTTCACCCAGCCCTGAGTCCTGCTGAGCAGAGAGGGACTTTCTTAGCCTTCTCTCCAGGCTGCTTAGGAAATGTTATCCTCAGTACAGATCAAAATGGGTCGCAATAGATTGAGCCAGATGTCTTTCCAGCACTGGGGAGGCAGGCAGGCACACAGACAGACAGACAGACAGACGAGGAGTGCCTGTGAGCCCCACAAGTCTTGAGTCCCCAGCAGAGAAATCTGCTTCTTCCCTGGGAATCCCATCCCAGACAGACATTGTTTGCCGCTGCCTGGGATTATATTGCTTTCACACAGTGGAATTACATTCCGACAAAGAATCCCCCTGCTGTTTTACAGGCTCTGGGGGAAAACAGATTCCAGTCATTTTTCCCTTAACCACACAGCAAGTGACTAATGCTCTCCTGTCGCTGGTCGGTCGCTGGCGGGGGAGCGTCAAGACAGTGAGAGCAGCCTGAAGGATGGAGGCGAAGACCACCGGGCTGGCGCATTTCTTTAATCTGTCAGACATTTCCCTTTGCGCACCCTCCTTCTTCCTCTTTCTCTCTTGTTCTCATCCCAGCCGCTCCCATTCAATTCCCTCTTTGTCTTCTCATTTCAGAACGGTGTGGTCCACCGGGACTTGAAGCTGGAAAATATACTGCTCGATGACAACTGCAATATTAAGGTAAAGCTCTTGTCTCGTTGATGGATGTGCAGGGCCTGGGTCTTGCAGCCTTGTGGAGGCTTAACCCGCTCCAAGCCGCAGCCTGGAAATAAGGCAGCCACTTCCTACCTGGCAGGCTGGTGGGGAAGAGTCTCTTTGCTTGAGCTCAAAGTCCAGTTCAAACAATGAAATTCGACAAGCAGTTATTGATCTCCTACTGCATGCTGGGCATTGTTCTTCCTCCCTGGGTAAGATGAGATGACTGAGATACACTGTCTCTCCTCAGGAAGCCCATAGTCTAAAATCATCACCATAACAATACTTTTAGCAACCAATAGATACATATGTATTTTATATTTTTGCCTGATACCACTTAAATTCAATCTTTACAACAACTCTACAAGGTAGGTACTGTTATTTACATAATTTCACGGATAGGGCAACCGAGGCACAGGAAAACTAAGTAATTTGCCCAAGGTAATCCAATGGTAAAGAGTGGAGTTGGGATTTGAACCCATGTCTGTCTGATTCATGAGCCCAAATTCAAGTTGCTTTGCTTGATTTTCTAGCAGGGCCCTAAATTATTTTAGAGCTGGAACTCTTTTCCTGGCCATTTCTTTGTCACTCTCCACCCTGTCTCCTACTTCTCCCTCTCCACCTTCCCACTCCTGAAACCAGCCATGGACTTGGGAAGCTGACCAAAATGGGGATGGTGCTTGCTGTTGGGAAATAGCAAGTTCTGGAGTTTACTCACACAGAGAGTATTATTGCTGGCTGCTGCTGGAGCTGGAGAAAGCTCTCCTGGCCCACAGGGTTCAAGTGCCTCCCGGGGAGCCCTCTGAATGTCCTTTTGACCACGTCTACAAAATAAGCAAATAAGGTTTCAAAATAAACGGAGCTCGCTGCATGGGTTTCATTATGAAACGGCCTGAGTACTCCCGGCACCAGCAGGAGCCCTCCAATTGGCCGCTGGTGACGTTAGTGGCTTATCCCTGGTCCCTGGACAAAGCATGGGAATGATTTTTTGTTGTCGCTGCCATCAGTGGAGGAGCGTGTGATGAGACTTGTTTCTTTGCTTGGAAGGATGGAGTCGCTTTGGTGTTGGGATTCTCTGTACAGATCATGGCGGCAACCATTAGTCACCATCATCCTTTGAGAGGCCCCTGGAAGCCATGACCCGGTGACCTCTTGCTCTTGAAGAGTGGTTGACCGTAGTCACATGCAGTCCATAGAATAAGGAGGAAATAGTTGATCGAAGTAGTTCTCCATGGCAATAGGAACTGCAATCTCAGGGTCTATTTCTGGCAAAGTGGTTGGATTATTCTAGAAGGAGCACCGGTTATAGAGTTAGGAAATTCCGGGCTGTGTGGCTTACTAGCTTCTTGACACTGGGAAAACCACTTAACCCTGTTTCCTCAACTGTAAAATAGGGTAACAGTACTACCCACAGGCCTGCTTAGAGTAGTCAATGAGACATTCTGTGTTTAGTTTTGTAAACTGCTAAGCACTCGTGTCCGAATGAGTCGAAGTTAAAAGCAGTGGCTTTGGAGTTAGATATTGCAACCCTGCCCCTTAGTAATGGCAGGATTTGGGGTAAGTTTCATGATGATTTAGGCTTTAGTTTCCTCATCTGTCAAGTAGGGATGCCAGTTCCTGTCTCTGCAGATTATTGTTTATTTGTTCTTTTTTTTTTTTCTTATGAATATTTTCTGAACAGTTACTGTGTGCAATGTCCTGTGCCCAGTCCTGGGGAGTCAATAACAAACGTGAAGATTTTAGACAATACTATAATCAAAGCAATTCACGTTTAACTGTTACTATACTGGGAGCCTGCTTAAGTGGCTGGCCACTGGAGAGGGAATTGAACCGGAAGTCAGCTGCTCTGAAGATGCCTAGGTCCTGGGGAGTGGTGATCAGGTCATGGCTGAAAAATTGGTCCTGGCTTGAGGGCCACATTTTTCTAAGGGTTTGTGTCATCAACCTTATTGACTTCCTCTCCAGATTCTTCCTGCCACCTGCCCCCAGAGTGCTCAAAACTAAATGTCGTCTTTACAAGGCCTGGAGTGTGAGCCTCTTGCCTAGGGATTGGGTTCTATGGTGCAGTGTGACCCCTTGGTCCCATGATGTATTCCCAGAAGTGATAAGACACATAGCTTTCTATGCAATCATAGAATTCCCTAATGGAGGAAAAGAATGATTAGAATTCTGAAAGCAGTTGTGCAGGGAAACAGTGAGGCAGGAGCCCAGAAGAATGGCTTCGTTTGTGTAAGCAAAAGGGCAATGATGTTGGGCCTGACAGTTCCCCTGCACCTAGTTCTTCAACCTGGGGTCCGTGTGCATGACGGAGGGAAAGAGCACACACACAAAACAGTATTAACAATGAAGGCTTAGGCATACACTTTTCCTTAAGAATTTCTAATCCTGGCATTTCCCACGGTAAAGCATGGGTACGCATGCACACATACATCCCAAAGAGAAACCAGATCTTCCCATTATCAACACTTTTCAATTCCTTTCCTCCTTGTTCAAGGAATCCTACTCAGATCTGAGAATCTACATCTTCAAAGAACTTTGGGGGTCATTTTCCAACCCCTTGTTTTAATGATTAGACCCAGAGAGTCTAGATGATAATGCCCATGACCACGCAGTGACTCAGTCTAGACTAAATTATTGTGTCTTTGCTTCCCCAGAGTGTAGACTAGTGTTGGCACACAGTAGATACTTCAAAATGGTTTGACTTTGGAATAAAGGAATGACGAGCTGGGATTAGAACTCATGTGTTTGACTTCCGGGCAAATTATCTTTTCATCATCTCGCATCCACTTCCAAGGTTTTAGAAAATGTGATTCAGCTGGTCTTGATTTGTCTTCTGGTGGTATATGCTCAACTCTTCCTGACTCAGCATTTTGCTGAAACATATTTAGAAAGGACCCTTGCTGACAAAGGCAGGCAGACACATGGCCACAAGCTGGCCTCCATGCTCAAGAGAGCCCCTGCCATCCGTGTCTGGACCTGAGGGACCACGGACACATGAGCCACCAACCAACGGGACATGAGCAGCAAGGTCCTCTCTTGGAGCTCCCTCTGGTGCCTCTCTAAGTGTGAATCCGTTTTCCACGTTTCAAATGTGGAGGACTTTGGCCTAGGAAGCCTATATAAATGCTACTGGTTTAAACTTGTCACATGTCGCTGCAATGGTGGGGAGAGCCATGTAGCTCATTCCTCTCCCCTTCCCTGCCTGATGTGGATTTGCAGAGAGCACATCTGGCCTTGGAAATTATTTATCTGGCCACTGCGAGAGGGTGTGGCTTCTAAAAATATTCACACAGTCGGTCAGCAGAAAGAATGAGAGCAATGTGCTGCTTTGGGCTGCATTCCGCACTCTGGAAGCATGTCTACTAAAATAGACACCCAGCACAGCATTAATTTGCAATTAATAAAAAACGGGCCAAATACACAGCCCACTCTCTGAGAGAATGGAATGCTGACAATTCCCATAGAAGGCTCCTGTAAAAATGTCTTACAATGAGAAGAGGTCCAGGCACCAGGGTCAGCCGACCTCCTCCAAGAGGGCTGGGAATCTGGTGAGCTCCCAGGGCTCAGAACAGAGGGGCTTAAGGGAAATGGCCTGCTGCCCCTTATGACAATGGAAACGCGGCTGCTGTGGATAAGAAAAGAAGCTTTGAATGGCCAGGGCCAAGATGAGATAGAAACCTCTGAAGCTTAACAAGACCAAGTGGGGCAGCTCAGAGTCAGCCTCTGGGCTTTGATGATATGAATGTGAGAGCTGTATTCATGCATGAATTAATCAATTCATGTGTTGTGTGTATATATCCATGCATACCTGCATTCACTCATCCATTCCTGCATTTATTCACTGAGGAGTTGAATATCTCTTCTGGGCAATATTTATTTGATCAGAAATATTCATTAAGGTCCTACTGTGTCTTCGCCCTGTGCTGGGGATGTAATAGAGAACTAGATAGCCAAATTTCTGTCTTGGAACTCAGGATCTAGCAGTTGTTAAACTAGCAGTGATAATGAGCCATGAGGAGGACACAGAAGTCAGTGAAGAAGAGAAGGTACCTGCTCTAGTGAGCTTAAAATTCCAGTTGGAGACACAGCAATCAACAAATAAACACATAATGTGATTGGCTGGTAGTGAAGAAAATCCATGCGGGGTGACAATGAAGAATAGAGTTGCTTTTTTAGCTAGAGTGGTCAGGGAAGGCCCCTGGTATAGGACTTGAATTCCTCTCATCCCCCAAGCTGTCTCTGGCTTCTTGACCTTGGCACACATGGTTCACACTGTCTGGAATGCTCTGCTCATTCCTTTTTGCCTGCTTCTTCTTTGAGGTCTCTGCTTGAATGTCTCTTCTTCCAGGAGGCCTTCCCTGATCCTCCTCCCTTGGCAGGGCCCAATGGCCCTGTGTAATGTATTCTGGAAGTTGTGAGCAGGAAGTAGTGGGTCTGTTTGGCTGGATGGACCAGAAAGCTTTCATGTAGGAAGAGGAATTGAATTGGGTTTTGAGGGATGGGTAGGAGTTTGATAGTAAGGAACATGATAATGGCTTTTCAAGAGGAAGAAACAGCAAGCACAGGAACACAGCATGGAGACTAGAAGAGGAAAGTAATGCTTTCTGAGCCCCTGCTGGAGGCTAGAGCCCCATGTCAGACCTTCCACACCTTATTTCATTTGGTCCTCAGAATGTCTCCGCTGGGGTGGGTGTGGTTACATCATTTTACAGACGACGAGGCTCTTGCAGCAAATAAGTGATAGGACTGGCTACAAACCTATGGCTATTTGACTCTAAAGACCAGACACCTGATGAATTCTACCCTCTACTCTCACTATCCAAATTTGCCCCACATCTAAGAGCACATCACACGAGGGCACTGTTTGGTCTGTGCTTTAGTCAGCCTTACCTTGTCTGCAGGCAGGCTTGCAGACAGCTGTCCCTGCGAGAGACTCTCCAAGTGCTAATGGTGGCTGATGGCCAGGCTGAGTCATGGTGGCCAGA